CTTGGGTTTATCAATATTTAAGTTGTAGTAAGTTCGGAACCCAAATAAAAGTCAATGACATACTCAATCTCTCTCTGTGAGGGTAATATAAGTAGTTCATCCAGAAAGATATTTGAAAAGTCCAACACCACCAATACAAAAGTCAGATTGAGATTGAACTTGTTCATCTCTCATTAAGTTGGCTAGGAAACTCAAACTACTCTCCGCCTTTCAAAAATCGGTTACCCGTAGTGGAAAATAGGTGGGAAGAATTTCGCTCATTTGTGAAGCTAAACACTACCCCTCTTGGTAATTTAAATATGACTCATTTTCGAAAAATAATCCATCACCACGTGATAGTCAGACAATAGGTTCATCCCAAAAATTATGTCTTACCTTTCCATATTAAGTGTTACCAAATTCATCCTCGACTTCTACTCTCCAATTCAGAGGACACAACCTCTACACACTTCTCGTGTTTTCAATCGTTTCCCTAGTAGATAAATCAACACTCAATCCATCCTCTAAATGATCAAATTTCAAACCCAATATCCTAGCGTATGCAGTGCATATAAAAAAGTAAGAGACACTAGGGTCAAATAATATAAGTGCCCAAAAATTATACACTGGAACAATACATTCCATTACTGTATTGGAAGCATCCTCATCCTGCTGGGTCATAACAAAGACCTGACCCTAATTGTTATTGCCAAGTGCCCCATCTCTTGAGTTTTTTCTGTTGTTGCTTCTGTGGTTGGAATTTGTTCGGATTCGGCTGTCCCACAACCTAAGTATTCTGTTGGGATTGCCCATGATTAAGTTACCCGTGAGATTGAAGGAATGAGCAATTCATCCCAATGTGCCCTACACCCCCACACCCATAACATGGTCGTATATCCACCCATATCCTATCTTAGAAGCCCCCAATTCCTCCAACTGGTTGATTTTTCTGCCCAATCGCCCAATCTGGGCAGCGATATGGAGCTATCCTCTAAACTCCTCCATTGCTGTTGCAAGTCCTAATTGGGCCTCCTCTTGACAAAGTTTAACACTGCTGAGTCTCCTTCATACCCCTCTTCACTAACACAACTTGATCCACTAAATATTTGTAATCTTAGATCATAAGAGCGACAAGCTTCTCCCTAATAGGAGGCCTTAGACCCTGCATAATTCGTTTGACTCTCTTGACTTCGGTAGATATGAACTCTGTATCATAACAGGATAACTAATCAAATTTGCTTTCATACTCAGCTATAGTCATATTGCCCTGTCGTAGAGTCAAGAAGTATGTGCTCATTTAATCTTTCACGGATTCAGTGAAATACTTGTCTTGGAATACTTGGTCAAAGCCCTTCTAGGTCATAGCATCCATGTTTCTCATCCTTTTCACTGAATCCCGCCAGTGATCTGTCTGTCCTTCTAACAGGTAAGCGGCCAAACCAACTCGGAGATCCATAGCAATCCCCATACTATCACACTTGTTTTTGATTATTTGGATCCTCTTGTCTACCTCCATCAAGTGGGAGCTCCACTACAAGGTAGAGGAGCGTTGTCGAAGAAATTCTTTGAACACCGTCATCCTTCGGTCATTTCTGTTGACCTGCCATTGGGCTAATGGCTGGACAACCCCGTTGTGGTTGTTGTTATTCCTGTTTTGGTTTTGTACCAAGTGGTCAATTCTCTCAAACACTAATAGATGTCGATCATGGCATCTTAAGGTGGCGGTGATTGGTTTTCAGCTAGATTAGCTGGACGTCCATGTCCTTTTCTACTGTTCATTTTACACATTAAAGTATAGTTTAGTTTCCTTAATAAAACTATAAACACCAACTCACGCTTAACTCATAAACATATAACTCCCAAAGTTTCAAGCCTAAAGTTTCATCCGACTTATAACTAAATCTCTAGTGGATCAACCCACAACTCTCATGTAAAATATAATCCCTAAGCTCTGATACCAAATTAATAATGCTCCAAAATCCACAATAGAGATATTAACCATCTATGAATCACCCAACCATGATAGCATACTAAAGTAATAATTAAATTATAAAAACCATCCATCAATTAAATAAATAACTAAACCAATATTCCCAATCAACATAATTGAAACCTTTAAATTACATTCAAACTCAAAGTAATTAATCTCCAATCGTTAACTAAAACAAAATATTCATGACCTGATTAAACCATTAAGTTTAAAACACAAGACTACATAAAACATCTCTAAGCCACCAAGTTTGGATCTATATTCTGATCCATATATGCATTCCAATTTATTTGATCACCTAGCCCGAGGTGTTTTTCAATACCGAAATCTGAAAATAAATTTATAACGTAAGATGAACAATAAGATTAGTAGAAAAATATTCTCATACCCAACAAGATTTCAAAATCAGCAAAAACATGTAAGCCTTAAATATAAAATAGCATAAATGATTTTAAGATAAAATAGTGATATTTTATGACGATCATAAATTTATGGTACAAAACCGTAAAATTCATGTAAAACTAAAATTAGTTCTCAAGCTATATATATCATCATAATTAATATATCTCATATATGTAGGTTGACTACCATGAATCCACATATCGAGTATATCCCCCCCCCCCCAGACACACACATATACAATCATCAATCCAATCCTCGCAAAGATAAATCATTTTCAAGAAATGCATATACTGACGAATTGACATTAATGTAATTTTCTAGGAATAATATACTAAACATCTGCCTCGATTACCACAAGCGAATAGTAAATTCTTGAACCTCACAAGGCACCAAGCAATTACACTACGAGTGTTAGGAAACTTTCAAATCCTTTAAGGTAAGAAACTCATCTAAATCATTTATGATACCCAGTCGACTGCGACCCATGCATGTTCATCACATCCACCTATATAAGAGATAATTTTTATAATTGTTTATAAAATTCAACTATAATCAAGAATCATGATTCCATAACTTTTCAAAGGGAATACTTCAAGAAAAACATCCAAGAGACATTTTCCTTGATCATAACAAAAAACTAGGGTTTTCAAAATAAGAACGAGTAAATTTTGGATGTAAATCATATATTTTTAGGAAAATGCTTCACGTAATTGAAAAGGAATCAGAACAGTTGTTTATCTAACATATATTTAGAGATTAATATCAAAAAGCATAAAATAATAATCTTGACCTCAATGCATGAATTTGAGAAAGAATCCTTATTTTATTTTTCGTAGCTCTTGATCCTAACGCGTTTGGTTATGATTTTCATGCGTAAATCCTTCAAAATTTGTTCCTTTTCCCAACTCTCATTAGCCTTCTAGGGTTGCAAATTGTTGAAAACTAACCTAAAGAACATACTTAGGGTATATAGGGTCAAAAATTGTTCAGTTGACACGAGCCTAATTGCTACTAAATGCACACTCATGTTTAAACATGAATGGTGTTCGAATGTGCTTTGTTCAAACATAGCTTACGTTCGAATGTACTCTTCTCCTAGTATCTTCTATTTTGTCAGTTTTGTGCGTCAGAACCAAACTACTATTGCTAAGTTGCGCTCAGACGTGACATCAATTTTTACTTGAACTTTCAATGCAGTTTTGACCTAGGTATAAGTTGATTTACGAATTTTTTTTAAATACACTTTTCTAACCTTTGAAATCTAGTTTCTAATGTATAAAAATCAGGTCAATCTAATATCAAGATAAAAAATTATGATTTAAATACTATGGCATTATCTAATTCTTTTTTACACACTTTATCTCAAAAATGCATCTAAGATTTAGAACATTTCTAAACTTTTAAGAAATCCATATTATCTATTCGTAAGTCATATTTATACATGCAATACATGACATCAACAATGTTATACTGACCAAATTTTGGGACCAAATTAATAGCTCAAATGACATAGCAGCTGACTTGAGCTTCTTTCTTTGGTGCTATGTCATTTGGGCCCCACTAAAGATTTCAAATAATATGTTGTCATGTCATTTAGTCTCTTAATTTAGTCTTAAAATTTGGTCAGCATAACATTACTGGATATGATATGCTGACCCACAATACAATAAGTACATGAGGGCTTACAAAAATCAAGCTGAAATTGTGGAGTTTTTACGAATTGATCTGAATTAAATTTGAATCTAATTAATTTGTCAAGTTTGGATTAATTTTTTTAAATTTTNCTAAATAATATGTTGTCATGTCATTTAGTCTCTTAATTTAATCTTAAAATTTGGTCAGCATAACATTACTGGATATGATAATCTAATACACAATACAATAAGTACATGAGGGCTTACAAAAATCAAGCTGAAATTGTGGATTTTTTACGAATTGATCTGAATTAAATTTGAATCTAATTAATTTGTCAAGTTTGGATTAATTTTTTTAAATTTTGTTAAAAATGGGTAACATTATTATGTATCGTATGAAATATTTAATGTTACTAATAACTCATTCAATAAAAATTCATGATTAGGCTATTGCCCCATCGAGTTAAAATCCTACCTATGAAGGAATCAACCTTTTTCAAAGGTGAGATAATCTCACACGCCTCTTTGTATANCTCATGATTAGGCTATTGCCCCCATCGAGTTAAAATCCTAGCTATGAAGGAATCAACCTTTTTCAAAGGTGAGATAATCTCACACGCCTCTTTGTATAGAATTCTGTATTGCCCCTCAAAGTGAATCTTACTCTTTATGTGTTTCGGCCTTGTTGTATAGAGGGCTTGTAATTGGAGCAAATCGTTTCAAATTATAAAAAATTCCAAACTAGATAACAACCTTGCAGCCCATTGGTAACAACCCCAAAAGCAAAATCACAATCAGTGCTTTTCTCATTAAATTAACGTATATTTACTTTAATATTTACAAACAAACATCTTCCCAAGACTACCTCTTTACAATAATAATAAAGAAAGCAAGATATACAAAAAAAATACTATACTAACTCGATCCGATCAAACTCCCCATTCGGAAGAAAACAAATAAAACAAAACAAAACCCAATATCTCAACCAAAACATTTCATGGATTCAAGGGCTTCAAGCAAATTTGAACTCCATACTTGGGCTTTATCGTAAGAACAATTACCGGTGCATGGCGGTAGTTCGCTGAAATATTGAAACTAAACTTCGATATCAACATGGCTAAAATGATCTTAGCTTCCATCAAGGCAAAAGACTGACCAACACAGTTCCGAGGGCCGGCAGCGAAAGGGAGAAAATGCCGTCCGGGTGAGAATGATTTGGAGGCGAACCGGTCGGGGTTGAATTCGTTCACATCCTTACCCCATATTTCTTCACTGTGATGAATGGCTAGGACTGGGATCCATATTGATAGACCCTTTGGAATATGAAGGTCACCCAGCTCGATATCTTCAAACGCCATTCGAGGGAGAACGGAGGCCGGGGGATATAGCCTGAGTGATTCATTGATCACCATGTTCAACTGCAGAAACCAAAGAAAAAAAACTTTTAGGCAAGTGCAGAGCACGAGACATTGTAAATGTCTGTCCGCGTGCAGAAACAAAACTACTTACATTTTGCATCATTAGAACACACTATACCTATATGTGTGTGTGAATTATATACATCTTGAACAGTATTTCTGTATACATGCAAGGATAAAATTGCTTAAATATAATCTTTCGAGAACATGTTATTGCGTGTATAGACATACGAAAAATAGTCTTTATATATGTGGAGTAAAATTACGTCAAAATTTATATGCTTAATTTGAACTACTTGCAAAAAGTTCTAGATCTAGCAGAAAATTTCTCTAGATCTAGAGTGCTACTACGCTGTGTGGACATGCTTACAAATGATTCTAACTACTATTCGTTACAACAAGGCTGCCAAAAGAAACTTCATTTTTTTTCTCAATTTTATATTAGGAGGCTCAAAAGTTTAGGAGACTACCTCCTCAGAAACAACGACAAACCAACCAACCATGCATGAGCAGTCAAAAAATAAATTATTTTGTACGAGTTTTCAATGAAAGTATTTATTCATCACGATTGTTTATATGGTCTAAATTATTATCAACAACTTCTTCAAATTTACAAGTGCATGTACAACAAAATGAATGAAAGAAACATGGGTATTGTCCTGTTGCCTACACTGATAGTAGAATCCAAAGGGTGGGACATCTTAAAAGATACTAATTTTGTGAAATATTGCACCAGGTTCTTGGTGCAGATGTTCCTTAGACATTGCTTCTTTTACAAAACTAAAATAAGAACAATGATATTTGAACATAATTTATTGACATGATATATTCGTTTAATCAATCACTATCGTTAGATCAATAATAAGCCTCAATATTAGTTGAAATCTAATTACAATGATAAATTAAGTCACTAAATTAAGTATAAATAGTAGTATTGCAATAGTAATGGATTTCGACAATTTTTTTTTATAAAATTACCTTTGTGAATTTTTTTTATATCGTCATTTCCAACATACTTTTCTTTGTATCATTAATTTTATGAAAACATGTCAAATCTATATTTTTTTTTAGTACAAAGCTTGTTTTCATGAATTTTGATTAAAACTACAACTTGAAAATACACTCTTCTATTGAAAAATATGTTTAAACCACAATTTCACATGANAGTACAAAGCTTGTTTTCATGAGTTTTGATTAAAACTACAACTTGAAAATACACTCTTCTATTGAAAAATATGAGTTTAAACCACAATTTCACATGAACAACAATAAATTCGGATTGATTCTACACATAATNTAGTACAAAGCTTGTTTTCATGAATTTTGATTAAAACTACAACTTGAAAATACACTCTTCTATTGAAAAATATGTTTAAACCACAATTTCACATGAACAACAATAAATTCGGATTGATTCTACACATAATAATGCATGCAATATTTGAAAGGGAATAATTATAATTTTGGGCTTACCAAGGTGAGTTTTGAGAGGTGGTCAACAGAAGGAGCACCACCATTGCAGACTTGATTGACCTCAGACCTGACTTTGTCTTGCCAAGAGGGATTGCTAGCAAGCAGCATCACTGTCCATGTAAGCAAGAGAGCAGTGGTCTCATGCCCAGCAAAGAAGAAGGTTTTGCATTCATCCATAATCACCTGCAGGTTTAAGCTAAACCCATTGTCTCTCTTCTTCTGCATTTCATTCAACAACATGCCCAGTAAATCATTCCCATATGAACTGCTTCGGCCTATCTCTACACCTTCCTTTCTGTTCTGTATTATCTCCATTAACAGCTTCTCTACCTCCGTCTTCAATGCTTTAATGTCTCTGTTATATTTACTGGGTAAAAACCTGTAAAAATATTAATGGAAAACCCCATTAACGTAATATTTCATGGTCTATTATAAACGATAATGATATTCCTTGGAAATGGAGTCATTGTTCAATTTGAAAAACTAGTTTAATATTTCATTTCCGAACTTAGTTTACAGTAACGGACAAGAAAAAGTTCAAGAGATGGAATTCATTACAGGGAAAAAAAAAAAAACTTATCCGTGTAGAAGGGTTGGAGTTAGAAATTCAGTGACACACCCAACCGAATTATTTTCCTATTTTCTATACTATGTAGTTTGTTTGTTTGTTTGAATATCGTTTTTGTATGTATACATGAAAAATTGTAGAACATGTCTTCGAATATATTGTGCATCCGATCTACCCCAATAGTATTATTACGAGAACATGTTGTTTACTTTGGTGACTATCGTTTTTGTAATTGTACGTCAAAAAATATCGAACATGTCTTTAACTATATTGGGTATTCGATATGGGACTCACCGGCTTCCGGGGAAGCACAAGCGCCGGCTGGATTGTGCAGAAAGATGCTGTAGAACTGTTAGTAAGTGGAATATTTGCTTTCCTTTCTCGTAGCTGCTATCAAACTCTGTCCGAGAAATGATATCAGCAGTGAGACGAGTCATGTGTCCCCCAATCTCAAACTCTGTTTGGCCCATCTCTACTGCATTTTGTAGTGATTGGAGCATCTGCTTGGTGCATTCCACCATGTACCCCGCATAGCTCTATCAAAAAAACCAAAATCATGTCAGTTTTACAAATTTTGACACCCATATTGGCAGTATATATACAACATTATCGTTCCATTCATGGGTTCAAGTTGCGGCCTACACGCATATTCCAATGAGGTTGCACACATCTAACACTTCCCAACTCTTACTGACTTAATTGTTATAAACCAAACTATTTATTATTTTCAGATACATACCCTGAGTTTGTTTCCCATGAATGCTGGTGCCACGATGTGACGCTGATGGTACCAATCGTCTCCATTCGCCATTAATAAACCTCGACCGATGAAATGTTTGGAGCCTTGTTGTTGTAGCCATGATTTACCAGAAACGGCACTGTGTCTTGATAAAAGCTCTTTAATCAAATCAGTCTCTGACAAGCACATACGTGGTTCGATTCCATTCCAATATATAAATCTTTTTCCTGCAAAATATATATAGTCGAGGGTGAGTCATAAGGTGATGATATTAATTAAAAGATGTATCATTTTTATCATAAGATCATAAATTTGTACCATATAGTTTAGTCCAGGAGACGAAATGAGGCAAAAGGCGGCTGACGATGTCGTGGTTGATGGAGTCCATGTCCTTAGAGGTGGATTTAGCCAACAGGGAGGCCATGTCCAATATGTTTCCGACAAGAAACCGAGGTTTGGGGCCACGAACTCCTTGCTTTTCCATGATTTTCTTGATGTGTCTTGGTGTTAGATAGTAACATGAAACAGTTTCATAAGCAACTTTCAAGAACAAATACACCAATATGACTAATAAAATCAACAACACCCCCATGGCCATGAAAACAAGTACTGAAAAGGAATACACACAGTCCTCACACTGAGAAAGAAAGAGAGGGAGAAAGGTGTGATTTGGCCACCCTTGGGAGAAACGCCAATATATATAATGGTAGTGCTCAGAGAAGTTGGGGAACCTTGTTGTAAAAAAGACAATATAGTGTATTCGACCATGAATTGTGGGGGATGGTGAAAAGGGTACTTGAGGCTTCTTGTTACTATGTGCCAAAATTGAAGGTTGGATAAATGGATGAACCTAATTGATGCTCAAAACTAATTGCATTAAAAGAAGCACAAAAGACTTAAATTTTAATTAATTTTGGAGAAACTGCATGATTAGACCAACAGAATGAGTGTATTTAATGTGAGCCTGCCTTAGGAGTTTCTTTCTCCGTAAAAAAAACATTATAGTGAACTAATTTATTTATCTAATTCATTACAACTATTAGATTGATTGTAGGTCCTATCAAATATTAAAACTTGATGTTTATCTAATGATTTAAATGAAATTATTATATCATTAGATCAANCATTATAGTGAACTAATTTATTTATCTAATTCATTACAACTATTAGATTGATTGTAGGTCCTATCAAACATTAAAACTTGATGTTTATCTAATGATTTAAATGAAATTATTATATCATTAGATCAACAAATTCAATTAAAATTTTAAGTTTAAATAGTATTACTCAAAAAAAAAAAAAAATTTGACGGGAAATTCAAATGGAAAGAAGGGGCTTAGCGGAGCTTATTAGATTAATGGGCCAAAGAAGAGAACGTGGCCTTTAGTGTTAGGCAAGAGGGATGAATGGCAATACTAATACTAATAGGTTGACCTTTTTAAACTTTGGAAAGACATAATTAAGCATACTTGGCAGCTTAATTAATGCCATGGCGTAAAATGACCCGACACAAGTTTGTCATGGCTGTACTCCAAAGTAATAATCTAATGGGGCATCATGACACCAATAATCTTCTAAACTAATTTCTTCAATGGCTCAAATTACTAATTTTTTACCAAGATATATGTAGTTTTTTTTTTTTTTTTTGGGTTCAGAAAGTATCTAACTTAAGAAGGGTTGAAAACTCCGAAATACATAAGGATCGGATTCAGAAATTTGACTGTTAAAGTATATACTTTAGGTGTACTACCACTTGACTGTTAATGTTTTACTTTGGTTCAAAACTTTTGACCATCCAAATTAACTCGAGATAGTTTTGTCATGCTAATCTCGGACCTTCCTTATGATTTACTTTCGTGAGAACAGTTGTCAGTATACTCTAGCTGATGATGTAATCTAGTAAATTAAAAGGCTTTTCTTTTTCTGATTTCCATTTGTGCTTTATTGTATTTGGTGATTAGTGGCGGTCATGGGCGATGCTCGAAATTTATGATCCTCCCCAATTCTTCTATTTCTTTTTACCTTATCATTTTTGATATTAAATAAAAATTATAATAGATTATGGAGTGGTGATATCAATAAATTTTTTTTAAAAAAATTTCAAATGAGTGGTAGATAATTATTGGAGCGGACAGCAGTCAATAAATTTTGGAAACTCTGAAAATGGGCCGAAGATCAACCCGTTAGCCCAATAGCATACTGAGCCATGGCCCAGTCCATCAGCCTGATGAAAAGTCCATGGGCTTTACAGCCCTTATCATTTGGAGAAATAGAAGAAAAGGGTGCAGTTNGGAAACTCTGAAAATGGGCCGAAGATCAACCCGTTAGCCCAATAGCATACTGAGCCATGGCCCAGTCCATCAGCCTGATGAACAGTCCATGGGCTTTACAGCCCTTATCATTTGGAGAAATAGAAGAAAAGGGTGCAGTTGTCTAGTTATTTATACTCTGTTTGGTAGCAAGGATGAAAAGTATGAAATATACACTTTTTATCTTTCAAGAAAGAAAACTAAAAATAATACATTTTTATTCATTTGTATTTTGTAGGATAAATGGAAAGTAGAAATGATTTTATTCTTTTGTGTTTGATATTGATGAAAAAATAGANGAAGGATGAAAAGTATGAGAGATATGCTTTTTATCTTTCAAGAAAGAAAAGTAAAAATAATACATTTTTATTCCTTTGTATTTTGTAGGATAAATGGAAAGTAGAAATGATTTTATTCTTTTGTGTTTGATATTGATGAAAAAATAGAAGGATATAAATCATATAAATACATAATTTTACTATTTTATCCTTATATGAAATTAATATATATATTATATACCATGTCACTATGGTATATGCATCATGTGTTTTAACAAACACAAATCACATAAACATACATATATTTTTTATTTGAAATAAAAAATAAACACACTAATATACAAACACACACAGTTTTAACACATACTGTAACTCCACCGATTGGTATATGAGTTTGGTTTTAGGTGTTTAGTATAAATAAGTAATTAGTTAAAGGTTAAAAAGCAACTAACATATTTTTATCCAATGTAAGTATTATTTTTCTTCATTTTTCGTCTAATTTTAAAGAGATTGATTTTGGTGAGTTAGAAAGTAAGCTCATTCATCAACTTTTTCATCGTTCATATTTTACTTACTATATATGATGTTTTATCTATTCTTCAAACTTTTAATCATTCTATTTTTCTATCGTACCAAAAGGAGTATTAGAGAACGATAATTGATGATATATAGAATAATTTCCAAAGTATGAGCTCGAGCGCAGAGATCAGGCAAGACAAACAGAGCTCAGAGGACTGGAGCCAAATCTCCCCCCAAACGAGACAATAACGGAAATGATAAGGGAACAATTGGATGTTAGCTTGAACCCTATTAGCGGGAAAGAGTCATATTCAAGGCGTAAAACCTTCAACCAATCAAAATACTTTCCAAAAATCAAGGAGGAATCAACAGATGAAAGGCTAGGATCTCGGTAGTGATCCCACTGATCAAGGAACAACTCTATAAATACTATATAATACCTCCAATAACAAAATGATCTTTTTAGCTACAAAAAAGTAAGATTGTAAATTTCATTCCCAATTATTAAAACAAAAGGAGTAAGGATCTCTATTGAAAAGTGGATTAGCCGAGCTCTCGAGCTGGTGAACCACTATATTTTCACTGTGTAAATCACCCCAATTCCTGAAATCATTGATCTTAGTGCTCACGAGCCTAGTAGCTTAGACCCAAATTGCAAAGCATAATTCTAACCTTCTGTTCATCTACATTAACATACACCATCAGTTTGGCGCCGTCTGTGGGAACGACAGTTCTAATTACAAGAACACTGATCTTTCAGCAACTGATGGTCTCAATCCGCAACATGAGCAGAAGCCAAATGAATCCCTCACGAATGTAGAACTAGCAGGAGAACACGAGTAGACATCACGAAGATCCATAAGATTTCTTCCCAACCACCGATGTCAATCCTCCTATGGTGGATCCTCCCATAAACAACGAGTTGGAGGCCCTCCGCTTGGTCAATCAACACTTGTTAAAGCAAAATGAAGAACTCCTGAAGCTTTTACAACAACCACAGGAGAAACAACCAGCCCAAGGAGGTCAAAATGATCCCCCTCATAAGGAACAACGACCTCTCGACCCATTCCGGGAAGCCGACGAAGAAGGAGAAAATAGCCAGGCTCCCCAACCTCCTCTGAGGAACGGAGACAATGAAGAGGTACAGAGTCGAAGTAATGAGATTGAGAAAAATAACCTTCGCCCAGTCTAGCAGGAGTGAAAAGACTAATATTGGGAGCAACACCTCAAAGATATTCAACAGGAGCTCAGCCACATGAAGGAGGCCGTGAGGGGTAAAACTTCAATAACCATGAACGCTTTAGTGCAATAAATCGAGTCCCCGTTTACTCCTGGGGTATTGCATTTCCCCCCTCCCGACGAAATTCAGAATATCACAGGTAGAAGCTTTTGACGGAACCATAGATCCCATGGACCACCTGAACATCTATAAGAACCAGATGGAGTTGCATGGATACCAATATCCTGTTCGTTGTCGCGCCTTTGCCATAACCTTGAAAGGATCAGCCTTAGCATGGTTTAACCAGCTTCCCTCGGCCTTAGCTCATTGAAGCCATGAGCTGATTCAAGGGAAGTCAATTNAGCTTCCCTCGGCCTTAGCTCATTGAAGCCATGAGCTGATTCAAGGGAAGTCAATTTTCTGTGAAACCCAAAGAACGACGACAAATTGGGGAAGATGAAATCGCAAATAAGTGAAGACGAAGAGCTAGAGAGAATTCAAAAAGTAAGAAGGGAACAGTTGATCGAGGGACATTTAAAGTTAACAATGCAAAGGGTTTCGAATTGGGTAACGCACACGAGAAACGAGGAAAAAAATGATTACTGATAACCGTCAAAAATTTGTTCACGTTTAAATTAAGGTCCACGTGTGGAGGTCTACCTTAGTCAAGCTTTAGCTCAGCCCTTGCCCAAGCCAGCTTGATCAAGAGTTGGGAGGCAACTGATGATACATAAAATACTTTCCAAAATATGAGCTTAGGCACGGATGTCAGACAAGGAGGTCAGACAAGACACACAGAGCTCAGAGGACTGGAACCAATGCTCCCCCAAACGAGACAATAACGAAAATGATAAGGGAACAACTAGATGTTAGCTGGAACCCTATAAGCGGCAAAGAGTCATATTCAACGCACAAAACCTTAAACCAACCAAGATACTCTCCAAAATTAAAGAGGAATCCACGGATGAAAGGCTAGGATCTCGACAGAAATCCCACAGATCAAGGAACAGCTCTATAAATACTGTATAATACCTCCAATAATAAAGGGACATTTTTAGTTGCAAAAAAGTTAGATTGTAAATTTCATTTCCGATTATTGAAACAAAAGGAGCAAAGATCTCCATTGAAGAGTGGATTAGTCGAGCTCCCGAGCTGATAAACTACTATATTTTCACTGTGTAAATCGCCCCAATCCCTAAAATCATTGATCTTGGTCGTCACGAGCCTAGTAGCTCAGACCCAAATTGCAAAGCATAATTCTAACCTTCTGTTCGTCCACATTAACATACACCATCAATAATAAATGTGGCAAAACCGTGATAAAGGTAACTAAATTTGGCAAAAAACGAACAATGAATTAGTTATTGTTGGCACCTTTATTTATTAGGGTAAAAAGTTTTATTGCTCCATCCTTTTCTTTCTTTAATCTTAGGCGCCCTCATGTCTTTATTGAGAAAAAACTATTTAGATTGAATTTGGGATCTAATTTATAATAATTGTGGGGTTCGAGGTCCGTGGCCCCATTCAATATAGAGACCCACTTCTAATCTAATGACTATATAGTGAACTAAATCCCCAAATCAAATTCCAAGTAACACTCATCCTCTAGTTGACCACCAGTGGCATGCATGACAGCCCAAGCACCATGTAAGACTGAAGATGCCTCTACGGGGGATATATGCAAAATCTGTTTGAGCCAGTTGGGCTGTTCATTGTATAGGAGACATTGTTTAAGGAACTACAAATATTGTCTTCTCGACTNGGGGGATATATGCAAAATCTGTTTGAGCCAGTTGGGCTGTTCATTGTATAGGAGACATTGTTTAAGGAACTACAAATATTGTCTTCTCGACTATGTTTTTCTCCTTCCTATCTCTTCCCATTTCAAGCAATGTTATTGAGACTTAATTTATTGACTTAATTTGCTAACTTAATTCATTATGACCTTTGGATTAACTGTGGGGTCCATTAAACATTGAAACTTAATGTTGATCCAATAATTTCAATAAAACCACATTATTAAGTCAGCAAATTACGTTAAAAAACATTAGTCTTTTTGTATTATGAAATTGCACTTAGTTTAATTCATGGAAGAGTTGACATTTTTTTTATTCTGTTTTATACAGATAGAAGAGATTTCCTAAATTATAGGTTTAATTTACTGTTTGAAATTTTGAAAGGATTCCTTCAAAATTCAAACCAGCCAACGTTTTTTTTTTTATCTTCTACAGCAGCCATTAACGAATTATTTTTTTTTACATTCAGCCACTGAATATTCTCTATATACTGTGACAACAAATAGTGACCTCATAATAGAACAAATTAATGACAAAAAATTGTTTATTAGAAAATTCAATATATACATATATATTCTTTATATACTGTGACAACAAACAGTGACATCATAATAGAATAAATTAATGACAAAAATGTTTATTGGGATAGTAATACTAGATATTGTGATGACGAGTGATTTCAAAGTGTGAATACATAAGTGTGACTCAATAAACAGTCAGTTGAAAACAAAAGAGTGATTTCATAAACACCCAACAATCCACACAAAAAAAAAAAAAAACAATTACATAGATTTTCTAGATATTTGTGACTATAGAGTGTGAATACATAGAGTGATTAACAAGTGACACAATAATATGCCTACATCGTAGAAAACACCAAGCATAAAAAAAGGTGGACGTAAGCATTGAACAATATTATAACATAAATCAAAAACCCATTTTTCAAAATTTATGTTACAGATTAAGGATTTTATCTCATAAATTTTCGGGGTTTTAATACAACAATAATATTTATAATGCAATCCTATTTCCGACAACAGTAAGAGTACGAACCTCACGTCTTTCGTTAATGTTGTTGGAAGGAAGTCGCGCAACAATTGATGCAGATCAAATCTGTTTATTTTGAACCTTTGTTATGCTATCGTGATTACTTCAAAAACGTGTTTTTTTGAATTTATGAATCAAATCCGCAATTTTTGGGTGAACAAAATCAATGGAGATTTTTATTTTTGAATTCAAGATCCTTCACTTGAATCATGTAGACGTCGACCGCTTTTGGTGGAGACGTGATTGCCTTTGGATTCGCAAACAGTAGATATGTTCGACGGTTTCCTACTATAGATGAGAAATTATAACGTGAACAGAAGGCTACAATAAATATTTTGCATACCTCATGGAATTTAACAAAATATTTCCCTTAATGAAGTTTTAGCCCAATAAGTTTCTTTACGTGAACCAGTCTGTTTTTCTCTTAAATTTTTGTGTCTCTCTCCTGTCTCTTTCATCTAACTATTTCTTTCTTCTCTCACTTCCTTCAATTACTGTACTTCAATTCTTATTCTTTGTATTTTATTCTATTTATGCTATCTTTCTTCTCCACCGCTATTTTATCATACTCTTGCTCTTCTATCTCTTCTCCATCATAAATAGCCGAGACATTTTGTCAATCATTGTCTTCAAGAAAATCATTCGTTATTTTTATAAATTCGAAGGATTCATTATCGTAATGGTCTTGCGCGGTTCGTGTTTGCAACAGTTTTGGGTTTCACCGGTAATGACCATGGTGTATTGATTTTTTGACAGACTTCATTCATCTTCTTATTCGATTTGTTTAGTTTGTTCACTGATTCATTGCTTAATCATTGCTCTATTTTCCTCTAATTGGAATGACAATGAATTTGAACAATGGAACTCATATTTTATACTGAAATGACAACAGGCCAATTTTACAAATCCAAGGAAACTAGAAAGTGACGGTGAATTTTCATTGTTGCTGCCCAAATTCACTTTTTCATTGTAGAATCGGTCACATTCACAGCACAATCAAGCTTCCGCTTATTTGCCATTTTTGTCTCTGCGCCCACACGTGTGTGTGTGAACACTGGGCAATCATACTATCGTACCGCGAGCCACATTGGAACTCCTCCGAGTTTGGCCTAATAGGAAAACAGTAATATTATACGTACTAAATTTATGCATGAAAGTTCCTTTCCACTAAATAATGTAAGCTATTAGATTAGCAAGTCCCATGGACTCTCACTACTTACTTGGTGCAAGAAATTTGCAGCAAAATTTTAGTACACAGCATTACTGGTACGAGAAACAATTTCATACCAAAACTGTTGGTCACATTTGGATTTCTTTTTTTTTTAAAAAAAAAAAAGCTCCGTAGACTGCAGTTTAGCTACACAAGAACTTATAACTCAAGTTATGCTCAAAGAAAAAGCTTTTAAAAAGTTTTATTTCTTGCCTNAAAAAAAAAAAAAAAAAGCTCCGTAGACTGCAGTTTAGCTACACAAGAACTTATAACTCAAGTTATGCTCAAAGAAAAAGGTTTTAAAAAGTTTTATTTCTTGCCTTTACAGTACTGGGAAGCATTTCCTACCTATTTCCTACTGCTCCTGGCATATATCAGAAAGCTTCATTTTACTGCATCAGCGCCTTGTGTATATTAGTTCTTTGTTTTGTGAGTTAGCATACAGTTTACCTAATTCCATTCATTCCCTTCATATTTTCCCATGCGTACGTCACCATATAAGATGACCCAATCAAAGCCCATACTAAGTTGTCGATGCATTCAGGTATTTCCGAACATTAATAATGAGTTTTAGTAAATGTATCAATCATCAAACACCCATAAACATTTCAATACATCATGCAAAGAAAGAGCTCCAGGCATGCTATTTTATATCATTCAGTGAGGCCAAAACTAAACAAAGCAATTGTAGAAACCTCCCTAGGCAAAAGAATAGAGGGAAAAAAAATCAGCAACATGGGTTTTGTAAGTGGTGATTGGAGACCCAACCATCTGATATAAAAATGAAAATGGTTAAATGAAATTATGTGTTATATTCTATATATTCATCAACCAAACATGCAGTTAAAGAATCATATGTCTTGCAGTTATGATAAAGCAACCCTAGGATCACATCTCTCAACTCTACCACATATCAAAAGAAAACCAGGTCCGTGTAAATGAATTTTTCATAGCCTCAAGGGCTGCAATGTTACACAAGAAAACAACAAAGGGTATGATAAATATGTTAGTTTGACGGAACTTTTGCAGGCATATGAGTTGCCTCTTGCACATATATGTCTCCATTTGGGACGAAGTCAAATTAAAAGCATTCATGGACTCACAAAAATTAAAGCTGCTTCTTTTCTTTATCCATTACTGCATAATGCCTTGACAACATCCATTGCTTTGTATTTGCATAAACACTGATCAATATGAACTGAGAGAAGCAAAGAAGCATAATCATGGCTTCAAAGAGGTAAGGATACTTCTGTGGAGGATGAATGGTCAAGTACACAATGTGAAGAATAAGAGAGCAAAAAACAAGAAAGGCTATCACAAAAGATTTCAAAGGGGTAGACGAATGAGAATTTGTTGTATCTTGTCTTCCACCAGGAGCACAATAAAGAAGGATGAACAGACCATGCACAGCAATGTATGGAAGAATCAGTTTGTCACGGCACAAAAGAGGAAACATAGAGAGCAATGCGTGCTGTGTTAACCACTGGAAAAGGAAAGGCTCATCCAAAGCCAAAAAGCTTGCTGGCAGAAGTGGCAGCAGAATTGATTTCTCATGTACTGTAATTTATAACCACAAGCAGTAACATAGAAAATGTTTACACAACTAACTAAATAATGGACGATGAACAGCCAAAGGAAAGGAAAAGATGGTCTTACATACCTTGAAATGAGAATAAGTAGAATGACAAAGCACTGTTTAGCAGCCCATACAAGAAATTTTGGCTGCTTGGAGACCATACTTGCCGAACCATTGAAGGCAGACATGTAGAAATAGTGGCAGCAAGACTGAGAACCTTCAATGATGGTGTGGTGAACAATCTCTTCCACTTTATGAGGACAGACGTGGTGCACCAAAAATTAGCCACATAATCCTCGTATATACCCCTCTCAAAGGGAGCTAGACGAGAGAGCACCTGTTATTAAGAAGGAAAGTAAACAAAAAAATCACAATACTTTCCTTCAGGAAATACAACATAAAATTTTGAGCTAAAAATACAACAATTATGTCTGGGATTACTAAAAGCAAAAACCAGTGATAAACAGTAAAACTTAAAATAAAAATGACTCTTAAAACACCTAAAATTTTTCTTCTAGCCCTTCCATATTTTCCTTCTCATACACAAAGAGTAGTGATATTTTGAATGAAGGATTACTCTTTTTTTAACCTCTTCAAGGCCCCCTGCAAATTAGCTAGACGAGTCCTGCTAAGAATTAAATAATGAAAAAGGGACACTGAAGTGACAACCTAGAAACAAAATTAACCATGAATTCATGTCAGTTCCCTGAACATGTTAGAAAAGACATGGTCTTCATATCCAATGCAGCAAAAGATACTCAAATGTGTAATTAATAATTACTGCAAAGACAACCAGTATTACATATTCCCCTGGATTTATCATATACTTACACACAAAGTGTAAGAAAAGTCGTGATATTCTTGTATGCAACAAATGTCCTAATGTGAGGGTATATATTTGGTGTCTCAATGGAGATTTATTGCTAAACAAAGAGACAGAGAGAAATACACACAGAGACAGAAACAATACACACACACACAAATATATATATATATATATATAGAAAACGAGAGAGAGAGAGAGAGAGAGAGAGTATAGAACAAGTTAGATGTCATTTCTATGATAAACATATTTTGCCCAATGTGAGCAATTCAAATTTCTGTCTTAATTTTTTTTATAGAAAAACGATAGAGAATTGTACTACTTTAAAACATAAGTACATCAAATTCAAGGACACTCATTAGAAAATTTAGGTTTTCTTGAGTATCTTCACCCCTGGGTGATTTCTTGGATAAGGATGTTTCAATTTCAGGCTTGTAACAACTTCAGTTTGTGAGGCCTACTTGAGTGGCAAAAACTGTAATGTCAACTACATTTTCCTTTTCTACAAGGAAGCCTTCATCTATTTTTGAATAGTTCATTGTGACATTTGGTGACCTTTGCCTCAAAATAGTTCTTCTTGTTTATGATATCATATAGTCTTTGCAGATGATTGCAGCCCCTAACACATGGTTGTATCCAATAAAGGCCAAATCTGATAGCATAAATCTTTTCAAATATTTTAAGTTTTCTTGTGGGACTATGTTTAATGGTAGAATCAGATATTTTCATGAGATTAAGTCATGGAGTGAACAGCGGGATTTTTTAAGGCCTGCCTTGATTGTGGAGGTATTTTTTCATGAATTTCATGTCGTCATGCACCTCAACAAAAATGGGATAGCTGAACGAAAACAAAGGCACATTGAAGCAATGGAGCTAAACTTCTTTTACCTTGCCATTTCTGCTTGAAGCTTTTTCCACATATGTATATCTTATCAATAGATTGCCCACTCGCGTGCTTAGTCATTACTCTCCACATGAAATTTTATTTGGGTCTCAGTCAGATTATTCTCATCTAAAGGATGCATTAAATGAGAATGGTCATTTGATCTCTTATCTCAAGCAATCCTTATGTTAAAAGAATTGGAACAGCAGGGGTTGAGGACATGTCATTCAAAAATTAGACCACTATGTTGGAGCAGGAAAAAGAGTCTCAGCATTATTCGCATAAACATTGACAAGGAAAACCTCAAACATAAACAAGAAAAAAGAAACCATTGGACTGTGGAAGTCATTCTTGTGTTTACCTCAGAAATAGAATGAAATGAATGAATGTACGGCCACCAAACAATTGCAAATGTTCCTAATACCACACATCCCAATTTGAAAACCTCAAAAAGTGGATTCCGCCGCCTTAAGCACCTACCCAAGAGATGGCTGAAAAATGCAGGAGCAAAATATGCGCTCATCTGCATAAAGAGACAAAAGATCCAATGAAAAAGATAAGCCAGAATTTTTCCGCCGACAACGATAACAAAACAATTTAAAGTAGTTTCCAATTGAGACATGAGTGTAATCAGGCAATTTGCTAGTCGTTTTATAAAGAGATATGCACCCAAAAAAGCTGTCTATATGTTTCCAAGTATTGGTCAACCTTCAATATAACTATTAAAAAACCAATACGTTTCGAACAATGTAAGATCAAAAAGCTCCTCTATCTAATTTCTTTGTTTTCCTTATGCCCCAGGCTCTGGCCACTTTCAGCAACTTTATTACTTGTTAAGTAGTACTGCATCTGTTGACTGTCTTCACATATAAATAACAGAATGACATCTTGTCAGCAACTTTATTACTTGTTAAGTAGTACTGCTCTGTTGACTGTATTTACATCTAAATAACAGAATGACATTGCTCTTCGCCTCACTGTCAATACATGTTATAACTTCACTAAAATCAAATCAAAAAAAGAAAATTGAGGTCAAAAGAATCATCATCAAATAAACTAGAGATGCAATGATTTTGTGTTATTATTTGTTTTGCGCATATGATTACCCACCACTAGTTACTTATCTTAATTCTTTTTGATTATGAAGCTACTCTTCAAACCTCTGGATCAGTAATTAGTGTATATTATGGAACCTAATCCGGAATTGGGTTCACTTATCTCAGCTGCATTTGTTCTACGGGCAAATAAAGGATCAAATGATGAGGGGAACTCTGCAAGCATAGTGGAATTCTGATAACTAAGGGAACCTGCAGTAACTACCTGAAACTGAAAGCAAAGCTGCTACTCCTGATTGATAGGATTTATTTGATGGATAAATACTGAAAGTAAAATCGAAATAGAAAACAATCAACAATCCTGATAATCATACACAAAACCAAGATTGATTACAAAACCAGAGCACCCACTATTAATAATAATATATTATGCTCATTCTCTAGATCATGAAATTATATGTTTCTTTCCATTTCATTAAACTCTTGAAAAGGCAATCATTTTACACATTGTTTTCCTTTGAAAAGCTATATGCTATGATCAAACCCTCAACTAAAGCGTAAAATGTTGCTCTCTTGAAGAAAACCACTTGTTTTGTGGCCAAGCACCCATGTCCTTTGCAATAACCTTGTCATTTCATAAGTTGGTCCACACTCCACAGCTAGTGCTAGCTTTTATCTGCATGTCACATAAGTGAGAAAACTTCTACGAAAAGCAATACATGAGCTGTGTTAGAGCTTGCCCCACATTATAATAGAGCCTCCAAAACTATATGAGCCCTGTGAGCCTCTCCACCCATACTGAATTTATTTTCAGTTGGATGCTTTACACAGCCTCAGAGTTGGGCTTTAACAGACTTTCGGCAAGTTTAGTTTCATTGATTTGGTGTTGGTTCACCTATGTTAGTACCATACGTGCACTTTGTTATGCCTCTGATATGTGTTCTAATTCTTCTCCCCACAGCTCCACATGTGAATGGGAGTTGCACGAGGGGGAATGTTCAAGCTTGACTCACACTGGATATAGTATTGCTCCTAAACTAATATATGAGCCTTGGGAGTCGCTCCACCAATAGACAATTGGTTTTAAGTTCGATGCTTGAACAAGCTACAACAAAAAAGACGATCATTCTGCATGTTTTTTCCCAACATTATTCCTGTCAATGGCCTTCAAACAAATAAATGAGTACACGCACACCATCAGCAAACCACATTCATACCAATCATATACACAATTGATTCCCATTTTGAGGATGACAGCCAACGCCTTCCTCCAACCCCTACAATGTTACCCAAAGAACACCCGAGGTCCTCAACCTACTCTCCACTTCTAAAAAAACACAATGGAGGCTATGAAGCACAAACACTCTCAAGAAAGTGGCATATCCATTTCGGCCACCAACTATCCCCGAACACTCTAAAACACAGGTCTGATACCTTTTATCCATGTCTATAATTAAATGACAAAATTTTAATTTCGGACACGTGTCACACGACACTTCTTTAGACTATGTCTTTTGCCGAACAATAAATATTTGTTAACATGTGACTAATAAAACTTAAAGATTTGACTAATAAAAGTATCTTATACTATGAAAGAACATATAATTATCAAGACTATACATATTAAAGTTCCACCCAAAATATTTATACTACTAATAAAAGTACCTTAAGTGAAAAACTTTTGATTCACTATTTTACTCTCATAAAAATTTCTAAATATCATACTATCTTTCCACAGTCAAATATCTAAATTACAATTGCATCCTTATGTATTTAAATTTTGAAATTACACTCTAACATCTCATTTAATTCTTTATTATCTTTGTATAAATATCAATATCAATATCTATGAAAAATTTTAATTGATTACGTTAAGTTTAAAAAAATATATGCATCATTATATTTTTCAATAAAGTGTTTAAAAACTTATTCAATATTTCATTACCATTTTCAAATATAAAGACAGCATTATGTCTATATATATGTATTTTTTTTTCCATCTATACTATTAATAAAGAATGAAACTTTTGCCTTAGCATCAAAAAATTTTGATTCATTATTTTACTTTTATAAAGAATTTTAAATACCACACTATCTTTCTATAGTTGAATATCTAAATTACCATCATATATTTATGTACTTAAATCTCTAAATTATCCATAACATCTCTTTTAATTATTTATTTACTATGTATGAATATCAATATCTATAAAACTTTTTAATTGGCTCCGTTACCTTTAAAAAATATATGTATCACTCTAATTTTCAATAAAACGTTCAAAAAATCTTCAAAAACTTCATCAATATAATATTATTCATTTTAATATAAAGATAACATTATACTTACACATGTATATTTTTTTTTATCCAAAATTTTAACCATTTTATTTTTAAGATAACAAATAATCTTTTATGTATTTTTTTAAAAATAATTTATGTTAAATTAACATAATTCTTCAATCACTATAACCTTTTCATGTTTTATTAAGAGTTTATATAAAAAAACTATAGTATATTTTTAAGTAAAACTTGAATTTTAGAATTTTAATATTTTTAAAATATATTATAGAATAATATATTATAATTTAGAGTTAATACTTTTACTCCTTGAAATATATATGTTTTGACAGTTTGGTCTTCATTTTATCAATTTTGTCAATTTGGTCCATAAAATATTTAGTTAATGTTTAAATGATCCATACACAGAAAGTCTGTTAAGTTTTTGACATAAGTGATCACATGTTGATTACGTGATATTATCTAACAGAATGACACATTGTCACTTCTGTTAAAAAACTTAATGGATCATATGGCTAGGAATCATTTAAACAATAATTGAATATTTTAGGGACCAAAAACCATAGATTTCAATGAAGAACTATAGAATAAGATAAGTATAAATCACAATTATATGTACAAATCAGATAAAAAAATCAGTATAATATGTACAATGATATTAATTATTATTAAGAAAATTAGGTAGACAGAGGGTCCTGACTCTTTGACTATGTATTAACTATGATTTTATAACATCATTTATAAAATAGTAATATACTTTTCTACTTTTTCATATCCTCAACTAAATGATTGTCTATTAGAAATTAAGTAGACAGCGACATCATTTATGTCTCTTAATCTTCTTTTATTTAAACTTGTTTTTGAACAAATTCTCTCTCTCAGAAAACAGGATAAAAGTCCTTCGACCGCCATACAAACCAGTTGAAAAACCTTTTAACTTCTCTATCTCACCATCCAGTTTGAAAATCTTTTATCTTCTCCCTCTTCTTCCCCCCGCTCTCTCTCAAACACCCCTCTGAAACTGGATAAACTACATATACATAATACTTTTTACTAATATTTTGTATGCAAAAATTATTCACGTGCAACGCACGTGGTGCATTGCTAGTAATAATAAAAGCAAAACAAGCAAAAAACTATTAAACAAGAGAAATTCAGAATGATCATGTAATCTATATATGTTGGGTAACACATCTACAAAAAAAATTATGATTATTTGACTATTATGATAATTTAGTCTAAAAAATACACTAGATGACTAGACATAACATTTAATTATAAAGTACTAATTTTTTTATGAAAAGTATATCATTATCGGTATATTTGCCACAAATTATATAACTTTATATATAACAAACAATTATTTGTAATGTGTCCGTGTTCCACTTTTTTTTTTAAATGTTGTTTCAGCATGTCCGTGTCATGTCATATCCGTGTCTCTTATTCATTTTCATGCTTCTTAGAATGGATAACCATAAAACAAAACAATTTTAGTATTTTCATGAGAGTCCAGTGGCCAATCTACTGGTGACAATCTTTTTGTCACCAAGCAAATGAAATTTTTTTTTAAGCCTGATAGCTATTGTGGATTTACATCTCTACATATTCTGGTTCAAATTTAGACATCTTTCTCCAATCATAGGGTATCAAAGGATGCTAGATAAATTGTTCCTCAATTTCATAACCCGCATTAAATCCTAATCCTTCATTCTATGGGCGGAAGGCCAAAGGACATCTCTTTCAACCATTGAACTAGAAAAACATGCATCACAATCTTATGTATAAAGCAACATACAGTAATCCATTAATAATAGCAATTGTAGGAATATTTAGCCCTTGGTCAATATGTGTTCCGAATATCTACCCAAACATCATTTAGTCCCTTGTCTTAGCACCACTCTTTAATATCACTTTTTCCCTTTCTTGGTGAACTGAATGCAACATAGACCTATTAGCAATGTTTAGAGCTATTATTTGTGATTCCCCCCCCCCTCCCTAAATTTTTTTTTTTTTTGCATTACCTATAAATGTCTTGTTCTTGCCTCTAAGTATCCCAAGTTGTGCCCAAGCCAAAAAAAAAAAAAATGTTAAGTCCACTTAAAACAATCCACTAAATTAGGTCCACTAACTCTTAGAATTTTTAAAATTACAACTTAAGAGTATCTCTAATCCTTACCCTTTTTTAAACCAAATTTAAATTTGCGTAAAAAAATCCTAAAAACCTTCTTCAATACTAGACTTATACCTATATCAAATGAAGAGAGACTCTTTTTTTACTCAAATTTATACCTAAATCTTTAATGGTGAAATTTCACCCTCCTTTACATATCTAATGGTCATAATTTAACATCTTTTAAATTTGGTATTATCCTTATTTAAATTTGGATTTTTCTTTCTTTAAATTTGAGTTTCTCCATTGGAAATATCTATACCAAATCAAGATTTTTACCATTTTTTTTTAACTCAAATTTGGGTAAAGGTTTGGGTTTCCATTAGAGATGGTCTAATTGAAAATTAATTACAATTAGAAATTGTAATTTAGCATTTTTGTATTCCAATTTACTTTGACTTCTTGGTTCATTGTGTGCTTATATTTGCTTCCACCTGTAATTTCTCCTTTAATATATTAACAATAATATTAAAGTAGAAATTGTATTTGTTCTTGTATTTGCTTCTATCTACAATTCCTTCATATCCATTCTTTTTATTAATTACTTGAAACAATCATGGAGCAATAATTTAAAAGAAAGTTCGTGTCATAGTTATTACCATCAGCAAAAAGAAGTGTTAATGAATTTTTAGATGCTATATATGATTTAAAAAATTTATATGTATTAGGAAATAAAAAGTTAAAACTTGCAATTAGTGTCCACCCTCGTATAAATTTTTGGCTCCACCTCTGCCTATTAGAGCCCCATCTTCCTAGGCCATCGCTCCATCATCCTCATCACCATCACGTGTCTGGAAAGTCCTCTCTTTGGATCTAGTCTGGCCTCTTGAGTTCTCCAATTTCCAAAAAGCCTAACTAAAAGATGATTAATTGGCCTTATACTTAATTAATTGAGGAAAAAAAAGGCGGGGGAGAAAAAAGCCAGGTGCCTTATTACCCTCCATTCCCATTGAAATCTCTAACCAACATAGGCTGATTGATCCTATATCTTTCAAAGCATCCTGAAACCCCCAAATAATATGAAATTATCGTAGGCCAAATTCCTGACACTATTCATTACAGTGTTAGGTGATGCACATCATTCTCCCGTCAAGTGCCATACCAAAGCAATTGTTGACTAACACTAAGAACACCAAAAAGTACTCCAAACACCTATTGAACACACATTGTAGATCGTATGGTTGATCCATACACCACATTGAGCACATAGTTTTATCTTGAGTTGTCTTATCTTATGGTTGATCTACTCATCATATTGAGCACAAAATTTCAGAGAGCTTTTTAATTCCCTCAAACGAGCATCATACACATAATTCAGTTTGGATTTTCTTGTCTTCAAATTTCATTATCTGTCTGCCTTCTATTTACCAGACCTTAAGAAACATCCCTTCTTTAACATGACATCTTAGCCAATATGTATTGCAGTTTTAGTCTTCTAGTTTCTTATCCAGTAACTTATTCACATTGCCAACCTATCAGTCCCATACCTTATGTCTCATAAGAAGAGACAATTCGTTGTTTCTGAAGGTTTATAGTTCCAATTCCACATGATAATCCAAATTCTATGCTTAGAAAGTTCACCTTCGCATCTCTTAGTAGCATACAGTTGTGTCTTCCCTCCCATCAACTTGAGAATAAATAATATAAAGGCATTATAGTTTCTTATTTTTTGTAGCCCAAATAATCTCGTCATGTTCAGAAGCATATGACAGCATACACAGAGGCATGGAGTGTTTAACATCAAGTCAATCAGTAAAAACCCGGTGAAAAGATAGAAGCTTTATCAGTAAGCATCAATGCCTTGCTGAAACATCTAGTCCGGGAACATTCTAGGAAGTAGGCCCTATGGGAATTTTGAGGGACAAATTGTATAAAATTGAAAAATTATAACAAGAAGCAATCTGGGGAAGACACCAAAAAAAAACTAGGCCTCACCTGCTTGTGGTTGAGAGCAAGACTGAACAAGACAGAAGCAAGAAGGTCTCTGTTAGATAGAATGGCCGCAACAGCTCCAACCGTAAGCCCCAAGCTAATACAATTGTACTGAAAATAATTTATATGAAGATGAGAACCAAAACATTCACACAATTATAATGTCAGCATGAAAGTAGAAATAAAAAGGGGCAAAAAGGAAACAAATTTTTTATCCATACCTGAAAATGACCATGGTCGATCAAAATGAGACATGGATTCAGTAAAATCATCGCAATGTGCCATGCCATATCACTTTTACGCCCACCGCGGCCAGAATAATAAGCAAAGACAAAATAAAGAACGGCAGGGAAGAACACCAAAGCATCAGAGGATAGAACTGTCCACCTCATGAGCAATTTTCTGCATGGCAAAACAAGAAAACAACAGAAAATTGAGGGGGGTAGTTTTTAATTAATTCTATAATACCGAAAGATGAAATTTTGGAAAAGGGCTCTCACGGGAATTTCGTCGAACACATTGAAAACATACCCAAAGTAAGACTCGTATCCTCGAGAAGTGTAAAGCTTAACCGACTCGGGATCGAAGGATCTGAGGAAAAGACCATGGACATAGCTCTGGTAAGCAGTGAGAGGAGGGTAGTCAAGTCCCCAGTAGCTGAGATCATTAGTGGAGCTATTTCGATACCATTCTTTAGGTGGAAGGTTGAGTGTGATCTCCATCCAATGCCTCTGTGCTTCGTAGTCTCCATATTTTGGTGGATTTCCAGCACCAGAGTAAGGGTGGAGTGAGACGGAGACTCTCACCAGAAGTGCAAAGACACTTATGCAGAGAAATGAGGGTATAATTCCCTTTTCAACCAGCCACCACCAGATGGTATTGTCTTCATCGTCTTCTTCTTTCCTTGCCTTCGTTGACCTTCTCTTCTCCATCTCTGTTCAGTTCTTTGGTAGTTTGTTCGGAGGAAATTACTTAGGAGGAAGAAAGGGTGGGAGTGGAACCGACCCGGTCACTAAAAGTGGGCTGGGTCGACATTACTCTCTCTCCTATATGTCTCCCTCAGTAATCTATTTATTCTCGGACAATGCTGTGTCCAATTTAAATTTAGGGTTAATTGTACTAGAAATCTCTAAAATATGAAATTTATCTCATTTTAATTTTTAATATTTTAATTGTATCATTTTGGTCCCTGAAGTATTGAATATATTTCTATATAGTCCTTCAAGCAGACAACGTCCAAATTGCTAACAATTTTTTATCATAAACTTGTTACGTAATACATAAATATGGACAAAAAATAATTTTGATAACTCTTAAACAAAATTTAGATAACTCTTGATAAAAAGAATGTATAATATGGGTAACTTTTGACTAAAATTTGAATAATTCATGATTAAAAATGTGTAATTTAGGTATCTATTTAATCAAAATTAGAGTAAAAATTTAGTCAAGAGTTATCTAAATTATTTTTTTGTCCATATTTAAGTATCACTTAACAAGTTTATGATAAAAAAAATTTAGCAATCTGGACGTTGTCTGTTTGAGAGACCATATAGAAATATATTCAATACTTTAAGGACTAAAATAATGCAATTCAAATATTGGGGATCAAAATGAAACAAACTTCATACTTTGGAGTCCTCCAGTACAATTAACCCTTAAATTTATAAACTAAATGAAAGGGAAATATTGGATCAGTGAGTCTCATTTAAAAAAATTGATGAGTTTCATTCATCCAATAGTCCTTTTCATTTAGGATGAAAATTTGAGTTACATAATAATTCCCCCTTTATTTTTTATGCTATTTTGTCTCTCTCATTGTTGATTTTTTTTAAAAATATATAAAAATTTGATTTAACTCCCCCTATNGCTATTTTGTCTCTCTCATTGATGATTTTTTTTTTAAATATATAAAAATTTAATTTAACTCCCCCTATTTTTTTTTACCACTAGTCTTTCTCTCCTTATTCTCTCTCCTTATGTCAACTTACAACAACATAATTAAATTAAATAATTACACCAATCAATTACAATTATCTTATAATATACCAAACATCTAGAAGAGGAACAAAATTGCGTAGATTACTCCTTTGGTAAAATTTAGCCATTTAAAATGCTAAGTTTGTTGTCACTCTAAACCACTTGGGTTGTTAGGAACAACAAATGAGATTTGGGTGATTCCTTGTGATTTCAACATTAACCATAGCAGAATACAAAAAACAACTCCTGTCCAGTGGAAATTTTTTAGGGAAAGAGAAGTCAATGTCTTGTAAGCTATAAAAAGGAACAAATTAATAGCCTAACATTTTGCCAAATCCTTGGTAAAAAACTTGAGACTGAACTCCGTCCAAGAGATGTGTAACTATAGAATCCAAACAAAGAAATGGAATCCCTCATAAAACTGATTTTCGATATAAATAGCTAATAAGTTTAAACATAATAAAAAATAGCTTAGAGATAGGAGAATGGAAATGAGTACAAACAATAACACAAGATCTTATCAAATTGTGTTGCATGAGGTTCCTTGAAGACCAAGGGAAGATGTATATGGAAATTATGTGAATATTACTTCCAAAGTATTATACCAGAAATCAACACTCACAAAAAACTCATCGCTTCATGACAAATTAATGGTAACACAAAATAATAAAAAAATACCCGATAGCAAGTTCGACACCAAAAAATTGCCCCGATTATGTTCAAGGTATGTAACTGAATTTTCTTCACATTTTTTTTTTCCAACTAAATTAAAAGTTTCCTTTTCTGTAAAAAAATTTATCGTAATCAAATGCCCGCAAAAAATTAAAATTTCTTATTTTGACCAAACCGAGCCAAACAAAAAGGCAAAAGAAATTAAAATATTTTTTCCTACTTGACCTCCCTTTCTCTACATGCCAACAACATAATTAAGTGTTAATAGTACAAACCACCGTCTTGCGTGCCAACACTGCATACGCAACAAACAATATAAGAGAAAAATTAAAACATGCAAGCCAGAAGACAAATGAAAACTCAAAGAAAAACCCAAATGATATAGACCCTTAATTAACACCTTTCTCTTTACCTCTCACGGGTAATCCATCTTACATCTCTAGAGTCAAAGATAACCAATGCTCAAGGCACTTGTCCATATCCAATACATCCATCTCAAACCCCTGTATCACCTCACCTGCAGTAGACTTCATTTGAACATGGAACATATCTTCCCAAGGTATATTCTTGGTCCAACGTGAGGTACAAAAAACCGAAACGGACTCATTTGCTTACAAACCCCAATTTCAAGCCACCTTTTTTGTCTGTACTCATTGAAGTCTTTGCCCCATATATTGTCCATTGTTTCAATAGCATATTTGTGAAACTCGGAAAAAATTTAAATTTTAATTAAAAGGGTTAAAATGATAATTAGTTGTTAAGGCAAAAGTCAAAAAATCAAATTTTTTTGTAGAACTCGAATGACAAAACAAACATTATCGTTGGATTTGTCTCGTAAAATTGGGCTACTTAGTCAATTTTCATTAAATTCTGAGATAGTCAAATTTTTGAATGGTTACGATACCTATCGCATCATTAAATTCTGTAATCACATTTAATTGCGAAATTCATAATATAATTTAAAGTACATCTCATAAAATAGTATCAAACATGACAGGCGGGATGTAATAGTTGGGACAAAATTAGACAAATTAAAATGTAACACTTGGCGCCTTAAGCCCAAGCATATAAAAAAGGTCATAAAGTGAAAGACTTAGTCTTCGCTCATTTTACTTCTTCAAATGACGATAGTAAAAGAGAAAGAAAGAAGAAAACCCAATTTCTTTAATCTTTTTCATCTTATTCATGCAATCTAACAAGATCCAAATGACGACTTGCTTAGGAGTAAGAATTAAAGTTGCTCATAACAGTGAGGGCTACGCATAGATACCATCCATGCTCAATTGAGACACATTTCAAAAATCAATGTTTTGGTTAGAGGTTGAACAAAACATCTTTTGGTATCGTGGGAAGTCGTTCTATCTCGTGCACACACTACAAGAGGTAAGGTTCCCTCTTATCTAGGTTTTGTTGGACCAAAACAATTTCGCAAAATAGTTTCTTAAGTGTAAAAAGATTAAATTTTGGTCGACTTTGAACCTAAATTAAAATGGGACCTATTCGTTATTTCGAGTAAACTTTTGTAGGTTCGTATTCTACTCTATGAAGAGAATAATGTAGTATATTCACTTGTTTAAATCGAGTAAGAAATGAATGAGAAAATAGGCTTCAAAGTGACCCCTTTAAAATGTAGAAATAAAGGTTGTGCAATATGGTATTTGACACCAATCTCACATTGGTTGAGGAAGAAGTTTTAGATGGGCATATATAGGTCAAGTTTGCTCTATTGGATTAGGCCCCATGTGTACCACAATTTTATGAGTGGAATGAATGCCTACATGTCTTCGGTTCTACCACACACGTGCGTGTGCC